GGTTGTTACCGACATCTGGTGAAAATTTCATGTCATTAGCACCTCTAGTAATATATTTACTGAGAAAAATGGTGACGTGTTCAATACTTATTTTAACCGCTGTATCTAGCTCCACCTTAAATGGTCTGATAACTGGATGAATAAACTCATCTTACTTGATAACAAGCTAACCAGGCTAACGTGATAAATAACCATTAGRTAACTAGTTTTACATTCTTTACCAGCTGTCAGCTGATAGTTTTATAACTGATGATTCAAACTAACCTGGAGCTTCGGCTATTTTTAGCTCATGAAGCTTTTCTCCAACAGGTGAAGAACTTGAAGCTGCAGCAGGTTCTGRAGGACTGCGTCGAGTGGCCATGACAACAGTGATAAGCATTTGGTTGTTTTTGGAGTATAAAATTTAAATAGAATAAGCATCCATTTTTCTGTTTAATATCTGTTTTTAAAATGAAAAAATAACCAAAGAAGTACACAACATGGTACAGTTTGACAGAATTTACTCTAGTAGTCTTTTTTTCAGATATTTGTACACAGTTCTGAAATGCAGGTACTCACTCAATGTAAACAAAGATCTTTTTTGTGTATTTTACTCAACAAATCTGAGTACAAAGAAAAACTAGTACTAGAAGCTAAATTTAATAGTAGCCGAAAACTAAAAATGCCCATTCCCAAAACCATACAACACAAACTATGAACAGGATGCTGACTCGGCGTTTACACAATAACAGTGACAAGGAAAGACTGAGAGCAATATAGGTTACATTGAAAAAATGCATGAGTTTTAAAAATAGTTCAGTTTGAATTTGTTTTTAGGTCGTCGCTTCAGTCAGGTTACAAAGAGCTTTGTGCAACAGGTAAGATGTTTACTATTCATGATCTTCCTGCTTGAGGAGATCTGACATTCTGCTGCTGTTGACCTTTTCAAACTCAACTGCAGGAGCTTCGTCATGTTAATGATCAACGAGTCAGTTCAGTCTGGTTCTGGGACTTGTCTACAAAAAGCCACACCGAGGGTTCCACATGAAGCGGGCAGAACCTTCAGAACCTTTTCTAAAAACTCACTGATGGAACAAGAAGCAGCTCGCTTCAGGTGATCGATCTGTTGGTGCCGACAGGAAATTAATCCTTAATCTTTTACGTAATTAGTTCATAACGTGATGATTCACTGTTTTCAGTTAAAGTCTCTGTCTGGCTGCAGATATTTGGTGTGGTGGTTTGGTAGTAGCTGAGAGTCATCTGCAACACGGTGAAGGTGGTGGTGATGTTTGGCTTTGCTTTTACTTTAATTTGATCAGTTTTTATCGTAAAAAACCTTGTTTTCTCTCTCTCTCTCTCTCTCTCTCTCTCTCTCTCTCTCTCTCTCTCTCT